GTTTTGTTGTTTAGAAATGCTTGTTCACATAGATGGGACGTATCTTAAATGCTCTATATTCGAATCCGAATCCTGAAAAGTTCTCGAATCTTCCGTAACCTTCATGTAAAAAATAATAAAAGGAATAAAAAGGAAAGAAAAAAGCTTTTACTCTTTATTCTAGAAGTTTTTGGTAAAAGCAAAATATCAATCTGAATTGAATGCAAAAAAATATAAATACATATTTTAAAAATACGACTATACTTAATAAGAAGAGACAGATGTAATTTAGTAAATGAACACATAATTAAAACTTTTGAGGCTTAAAGTTCATTTTCTCAATATAATTCGTTAAAATGTTTGAGTAATGGTACATATTTTTTACAATTTTTCAAATTTTTAATTAAGGCTCTTGCAGAAGGAAAAGATTACTTTAACAGTTATTGCAGCTTACTACTAACATCGAACTACTTCTATTCAGAAAATTAAATGTCGCTGATCGTTGCAACTATAAGGTATTTCTCGCGCCTTCTTAGCATGCCTTCGTGCTGTAGTGGTCAGCAAGCTCGGCGCGTATTCGATAGGCCCGTGGTTCGAGTCTCGGCGAGAGCATTGCTCATTTTTCATCTCTCCTGCTTCCAAATAAATCCTAATGTCTCTACAGTGGCGCCCGAAGTAAAAAAGGACCTGGATGATGATTATCCACCGCCAGGATTTGGCGATTGGATCCCCTAATTCCCAGCCGCCCATGGGGAGTGTATAAGGTACTTCTCCCACCTTCTTAGCCTGCCTTCGTGGTGTAGTGGTCCGCACGCTCGATGCGTATTCGAGAGGTCCGTGGTTCGAGTCCCGGCGAGGGCATTTTTTATTTACTCCTGCTATATAAAAGAAAACAAAAAAAAAAAAGAAAAAAAAAAAAAAAAAAAAAAAACATAATCTCTGTACACTGCGAGGTGATATCAGGTATCCAAGTTCTCTGAAGTTGCAACATTCCGTCTTCTTTACATAGTTAATGTACTAAACGGCCTGAAACTGGCATTTTAAATCTCAGGAATGGCCGATTTAGCCATTTTATCACCAAAAGTGTTGCTTAGGGTGCACTGCAGGGGTGGGGACCGAATTACACTTGCGAGAAAGAGAAAGCTCCGTCCCAGTTTTGATGGAGAACATCCCGTGGTTGGGATCCGAGGGTCTTCCACTGCTCTTCCTTTACAACCAAATTTCTTGAAAGGACTTTTGAGTCGCCAGTATTTCAGGTTGTCCTCAGGCTGCATTGATGGATATCCAAGTTTTCTATAGGGCTCGAACCTGGTCTGAACGATATGTCAGCCAATATCGCTAAATACGAAATTTTAGCGCAAAATCGGTAAAGCTCGGAGGGTTAAAATTTTTGTTCAGAATAAAAATGAGCTTTATTAGCTGAGACTTCCTTCCCCTTAACGATAATTGTAAATGGAATAGTACCGTTATGTATTAGCTTTGGTTACAGCGTAATTTAAAATGAATCATTAACAAGCTCGTGTAGTGTAAAATGTTATTCACAGCAATGGAAGGTATACGATGTATAGGTACGTTGAGAATGCTACTGGAAATAAAAGACAATAAATTACTGTTCCATTGTCATAAACATGCTTCGCTTCGTGTCTCGTGTCACCATGAGTTTTTTTTTTTTTTTTTTTTTTTTTGCTGGTAAAGACAATCCATTAACCTTTATTGTTTCCTTTTAAATAGGAGATAAAAAATGCTTGGAATGCAGTTATGATAAGCATACCGCATTCTAGCGGTTGTTACATATTTCTAACATAGAAGCCTCTTTTTATATCATATTTTAAGGTTAATAACACGAAAATAGCTCTTTTTCCAAGCACCTTTTCTATACAATAATACTTAAAAATGAGTTTTCGTATATTTACTAGGAAATATCGTATTTGAAATATTATTAAGTCAACCAGTAGAAAATTCCCCCAGGAATTATGTGATCGCGGGGGGGGGAGATTATTCGCCCTTAAATTGATACGATATTCTGACGCAAGTTAAGAAGATAGACAGGAGCAATTAAGTTTTCAGAATGACAGCAAATTAAGCATAAATCATTGATTAAAAGAAGCAAGAACGTTTATATAGACGCTGATAAAGAAACGTTAGGAGATGCGTATTGTGAGCATAACTTAGCTTTTTAACTTCTCTCGTCTTTAGTGATCGCGTTTCTTTTGAATTTTTTGTTTACCTGGAAGAATTAGCAATTACTTTATTTTTCTGGTAATACGAGAATCTTTTTCCGAGATTCTCAAGAAGATCTAGATTTTGAAAAACATTTAAAAAAAAAAAAGATATATTTGAAAAAAAAAAAAAAAAAGAAAAAGAATGGTAAGAGGAACAGGAAAGGCATGCAAAATAATAACAAAAATATCTGACACTTTTGATATCAGAAACGTCTTTAGCGGAATCTTACCAAAATTTCTGGAATTAGCCGTTTGGAAATACATGGCATCTTCAGTTTAAATTTAAAATTTAATCAGTCTGTAGCTGGTTAATAATCGGCGAGATTTAAAAGTAATAAACATACTTTTAACGAAAGATTACGTTCTCCCATAACGATCTGATGGGAAAACAAAAATTAAGATGCTATTTGAGGTGTGCGAGAATTGTGAATTCCTTATATTAGAAGCTACAAATGTTACAATCGATCTAAATATACACTCAAGAGCCAAAACATTATGACCACCTGTGAATAACGAGTTGGGCCACCTTTGGCGCGCAATACAGCTTCAACCCGCCTTGGCATCCATGCCAAGGCGATGCCAAGGCGGTCCTTGATAGATGGCCGGAGACAGATTGTACCAGATGTTGTAGCAACGGTCACGCAAATCCGAGATATTGCGAATTGGTGGTCTTTGACCTCTGAGCTGCCGTCCCATGACATCCCAAATGTGTTCTATCGGATTGAGATCCGGTGAGTTAGGCGGCCAGGACATTAACTGGAAATCAGCGTTATGTTCCTGGAACCACTTCAACACAATTGTAACCTTGTGACACGGGGCGTTGTCCTGTTGGAACATTCCATTTCCAGCTGGAAAAACAGAGGCCATGTAAGAGTGCAACTGGTCCGCAATGATGTTCAGATACCCTGTAGCATTCATGGTCTGCTCTACCACAACCATGGGTCCCAGAGACACTCAAGAGAACGTCCTCCAGAGCATAATACCGCCACCACCGGCCTGTGTATGACCTACTGTGCATTGAGGGAGCAACTGTTCGCCTGAAAGACGGCGTATCCTGACACGGCCATCGGCGTTATGAATGACAAACCGTGATTCATCTGACCAAGCAACTGTCTCCCACTGATCCATGGACCAGTCGCGATGTTTCCGGGCCCAGCGCTGGCGCAGTTGGCGATGACGCTTAGTCAGCAAAGGCACACGAGTGGGACGTTTGCTGTGTCCGCTGAACAGTGTGCTCCAATACTTTTCTACTTGGCCCTGCATTGTATTCGGCTGTCAGCTGAGCTACTATTTGGCTCCGGTTTTGCTTCATCATACGAGACAGTCTCCGACGACCTTTTTTCTTTGATAGCGTGTGGACGTCGAACACCATGTCGTCTACTGCTGGTTTCACCGTCATTCATCCACTTTTCATACGTACAACAACTGTAGATCGCGAACAACCCACGAGTCGTGAAGTTTCGGAAATACTTGTTCCGAGCCTTCGAGTCATTACAATCTGCCTTCTATCAAAGTCGCTTAGATCCGCAGCCTTTCCCATCATACACAGAAGTGAAAGAATGATTCTTCAGACTCTCCAGCAGCAGTTAAATACCACTTCCACCTGATCACGTGCCTTCCACGTCATCCAGGCGCGTTCATCGCAAAATGTAGGGCTGGTCATAATGTTTTGGCTCTTGAGTGTATGCTGTGATAGATGAAAAAGCATATTAGCAAATAGAAACTCACACACACGCGGAAAAAAAAATTGGACAAAAGGTATACGCATAGTAACGCGTAAAAAACAGAGAAATTTTGGTGACGTCAAAGCTCGGCGCGCATGCACGACCGAGTGTGAGTGGCAAGGCGTCACCATCGAGATCTATCTCGATGGTGACGGGCAAGGTCGTCTGATAGACAGTCGCGTGTAGGCAGTCTGTGTGTGCGGGTGGTATTTGCTGTATTCTATATTATTTTGCCAAAAAATTTAATAATGAGTTCGAAAAACGGAAAATTAAGGCGATTGAGGCAAAGAGAAGCAGAACGAAATAAACGATACAACAGTGTGCAACAAACAAAAGAAGAACGAAAGAAATGTTTGCGAAAAGAACGCAATAGACGGTACTATATATTTTATTTCTCATATCATCGACCAGTTTTACAGAGGGTCATTATGAACAAATAGATGTAATAAATAACATAAAATATATATGTTCGTGTATCTGTCGAATTAGCAGACTATAGGTTAGTTTTGCAACACAAACTTTAATGAACATAATTATTTACAATTACAGAAATTACAGTTACATTGTTGCGTACCGAGAACAGAAGTATCGTTTCTTAATGACTGCGTAGGTCGAGAGTAAAACTCTCTTCCTCGTTGCCTAGACGATCTCCATTCGCGCCTGCGCAGCGTTGCCACAAAAGTTCAAAGAAAGAAATATTTCAAACTCGTAACATTCCCTGCCGATTGGATTATTTCTATCATTTATAAAACAATACAATATAAAATTAAATTAAAGTTATACAGCAATTACACTCAAAGTACAATAGTAATATTAAGTATAGAAATGAAACTTAAATACAATAATTAATAAACAGGTAACACACAAATATATCGTACAGATCTTTTAAGTATCTTGCTTTGTGGCAAGCGTATGTTCACAACTCTTACTTTTTCATCACTTCCAGTGAATGTTTCTTCTGCTCTTCCTGTTAATTACTTGGTGCATGGTAGGTTTTCTTCCTTTACCAGCACTAAGGTCCCAACCTTTACGTTATTCTTACTGAACTGCCACTTATGGTGTTGTTGCAAATTATTTAAGTAATCTCTTTTCCAAAGCTTCCAGATTCTCTGAGAGCATCTGGAACCTTTTCCCACTTGCTAAGCCTATTTTCATTGATATCTGTAGTGGGGGTTCTGCGATGGAAGAAAATGCCCTGGGAAATGCTCTCAATAAGGAAATGCCCTGGGGTTAGGGTTTCAAAGTTATCAAAATCAGCTGACAATGAAGTCAATGGTCTGGAGTTTAGAACTCCTTCGATTTCCGCTAATACTGTAATGAATTCTTCCAGAGTAAAATAAGAATTTCCGGCTAAGCGTTTTAAATGATACTTAAAGGATTTTACGCCGGCTTCGTACAATCCTCCAAAATTAGGAGATCCTGGAGGGTTAAAATGCCAGTCAATTGTTTCCTCCGTGAAATATTGAACCAATTGTTCATCTGGAGAAATTACGATTTTCAGAAGTCGTTTTAGCTCGGCATCTGCGCCAATGAAATTCCTCTGTCTTTTGAATTTCACGTAAAAGGGTCCGCAAAAATCTATGCCGGTAACCGTAAATGGAGGAGAAGGTTCTATGCGTTCCTTAGGCAGTTGGTCCGTCAACTGTTGCTCTACAATTTCTTTGTTCTTTGTGCACATGACACTATTGTGTATCACCAATCTGCACAATTTCATACCGTTTAACGACCAATACCTTTGACGTATTAGGTACAACAAAGTCTGGGATCCTGCATGCAAATATTTCAAATGAAAATACTCTACAATCATGTAAGTTAAGGGATGTTTAGATGAGAGGACAATAGGATGTTTAATGTTATCGTTAACACTAGAATTGGTTATTTGTCTTCCAACGCGAATAAGCACATTTTTATCAAGAAAACAATTAAGAGAAGCTAATTTACTTTTACTTTTTACGTTCTCAACTTTCATTAAGGCATAAATTTCTTCCGAATACCCACTTTGGGCAAATTTTAAGAGAACAAATTTTGAATTGTTCAATTCTTGACACTTCAGATACCCACCTTTCTTGTCTTTTGGAATTCTACAGTTATAAATAAATCTGAAAACATAAGAAACTGTACGAATAAGTTTAGAAAAATTATTAGTAATTTTAAGCAGATCATTATGAAACAAAACATTCTGCTTAGTTACAGCAAAACATACAGGTATATCTCCTTCTACACAGGAACCTTTTTTCATTTCTGAAATATAATATTCTTCAGGAACAGAATTATTACCCTGAAATACTGAGACTAGATTTTTTCTTAAGAATTCAGGACCTGACCACCAGGTCTAATTTTTTAAAAGATCTTCTACACTAACCCCTCTTGTTACAAGGTCAGCTATATTTGGCTTACCAGGTATATGCGGCCAAGCTTCAGGATTGCTAAGAGCCTGAATCTCTTTCACACGATTGGAAACAAACTGTTTCCATTTATGATGAGATCCTTTAATCCAGAACAATGTGATCTGGGAGTCTGTCCAAAAATGAACTGTATGTATGTGTCCCTTTTCGTTTTACAATTTGTTCTACTTCTTTCGCAAGTCTGGCTGCGAGCAATGCCCCATGAGTTCAAGTTTTGGTAATTTATTTAATGGGGCAATACGACTCTTAGAAGCAATTAAGTTTACTGAGATTTTGTCAACATTTTTAACTCTTAAGTATACTGCAGTTCCGTATGCTCTTTGGCTGGCATCGGAAAAGACGTGGATTTGAAGTTCGTTGGCATCACCTAGGCTACCGTCGAGGATCATCTTAGGGACTTGAAGGTTTGTAATATCAGGTAACTCAAGCTTCCATTGAGTATACGTTTAAAGACGGTCTGCTTGAAGTTCTGCATCCCATGAACACTTCCTAAGCCACAGTTCTTAGAGTAGACATTTGAGTCTGATTGTAAACGGCGTTAGAAGACCAAGCACATCGTACAATTTTCCTGCTGTTTTTAACAGTTCTTTTTGTAACACTTTCTCCTTTATTAAACTCGAGTAAATCTTTCACATCAAAAGTGATGTAGTCTTGATGCACGTGCCGTGGAAGACCGAGAACCTTTTGTAGTTTGTCAGTAGGACTGGCCTCTGAATGAATGGGATGGATCTTGAACCCCTTGTCTTCCCATATTTGTAACAGTTCCTTGCTGTTGGAACTCCACTTACATAAATTCATTTCTGCGTCAACCATAATCCTTTTGGCTTCACACAACATCTGAAAGGCAGATGAGACGTTGTTGAGAGCTCCAACAAAATCGTCGACATATAGACATTTATCGAGCATTTCCACCGTCGCGGGATGCAACTCTGGAAACTTTTCGATGAGTTCTTTAATGGTGGCAGACAGCAAGAAAGAACTGGCGTTGACGCCAAGCAGAACACGGCAAAATTCTGCAAATCTGAATATCATAATGTTCATTTGTACCTGAGTTTTTACTTGGAAACAGAAATCGGACTGCGTTTCGATCCTTTTCATGTAAAGATATCTGCAAAAACGCTTCCTCGATATCTGCTAAGACGACCACCGCATTCAAACGGAAGAAGACAAGCATGTTGAATATCAGAGGGCTAAAGCTAAGTCCATCATATAAACAGTTATTCAGAGAAAGTTCACCCTGTTTATGTGAACTGGCATCAAAAACGATTCCTTTCTTGGAACTGACGGAGTCTCTGTAAACCATTGAAATGGTAGATAAAACAGGGGCTTATCACTTTCTAACTCGTCATTTGGAACCTTTTCGGTGATACTCTGAGTTTCATAATCATTCAGTATCTCTCGGTAGTTGTTATAAAGTTCTGAATATCTCTCAAATTTTCTATTCAAATGTTCCAGTCGTCTCTTGGCAACTGCTAAGTTATCACATAATTCCTTAACGTCGCGCTTCCATGGTAACCCAACTTCGTACCTCCCCTCCTTATAACACACAGAATTCTTAAAGAGTATTATGGCCCTAGCTTTCTCATCTGAGTGTACACTTTGGAAGACACCAATTGATTCTAATTCCCAAAATTGTTTTAAACCCTCATCAACACGATCTTGTATAAAGTAACATCGAGAATTATTTGGAGACAGACGGGAATAGAACCCGTCACCATCCATCCGAAAACTGTTTCAATTAAAGTGATAGAATTACCCCTTAACTGGATTCGGTTTCCCCTTAATAATTCGTAAGACACGTCACCTCCCAAAAGAAGCGATATTTTTTTAGGTAAATAAAATTTAGGATTAGCATACTTTATATTTTCTGGCAATTTAAAATTTTTGACATCTATTTTTTCAGCTGGAACATTTCCAGCAATTTCTGGCAAAATTAAAAATTCGAGTTCCTTACTGAAAGATTCTTCGTCGTTAGCTATGCGCGTACAATTTTTTCCGTAATCGAAACTACAGTATTTTTCAATTCAATTAGATCTGCTCTACACCTCGATCTTTGCTTCCTCAGTTATTAAATTTCGCATTGACTTGGTTTCAAAATTCTTGTCTTTTTCCCCTTCATCGGGCTCCACTGTCAATAATGAATGATGCTTATTTTTGTTTTGTTTTTGCCTTTCGAACGCGAAATGTACTCCATGTAACATTGTACTATGATTTTTGTTACATGTTTTACACTTTAAATGAATTTTCTTGCATTTAGAAATCGCATGAAATCCAAAACAGTTATAACACAGATTAAACTTTCTAACGTATTTTAATCTCTCGTCTGCGTTTGATTCAATAAAGCTTTTACAACTGAAAATGGAGTGTCATTCGGTGCATCCAACATACAATTATTTTTGTCATTTTTTACTATTAGCGTTTTGAATTTCGGACTTAATTCCCGTAAATTCATTTCCTCCCAAGCCTTTGTTTACGTTTTCCAAAGCTTGGCATCTTTTATTTATAAATTCTGTAAACTTTGCCCAGCTCGGTAATTTAGAACTAATTCCATTTCGTATAATTTACGAGTATCAATATCTATTCATTGAAGATTACATATTGCTTCGCAAAGAAGGTTTGCGTGTAATTCCAACTGTTTTAAATATCGCAAATTACTTTCGATTTTACCAAGCATCTGTGTTAAATTAGATACGTATTCACATTTAACTTTAGAGCAATTACGTATTTCATTAATATGACTCATAATAAGCAATCGTGCGTTTTCAAAACTTTTTTTCAATGCCTTCGAAACAACTGTTTATATGTATCATTTACCGTTATTAGTTGTTTGGCATTACTCTTGAGTGCTGATTCAAGGTAATATAATTTTTGTTGTTCTGACAACTGATCATTATTATCAATTAATGCCATAAACTGTGATTTGAATGATAGCCATTTGGCATAAAAACCTGAGAACTCGGGAAGATTAATTGACAGATTACGCGAATTCTTGAAATGTCATTAAAAATATTTCGTAAGGAATTTATGCCTCAAATGGGCAATTTTAATTGTTGACAAGGAAGTATAGAGTATCATAGCTAGTGACATTTTTTAATTAATTCATTCTCGTCTAAAATATGTTTAGTTTGTGCATTCTGTCTTAATTAAAAACTTTTAGCGGTTAGCCTTAATTTAATTAACTAATTTACCAAATTAACTTATAGCTTTAAACTACCATGATGAAAAATAAAGTAAATTTAGATACTTGATTTTTGAGAAAAAAAAGAGAGAGAAAGAATTATATCCTGTAATCTATTTTAGCCAGAGAATGCGAACTCATGAGAATACGAGACGTTCAAGTAAAGTCCCCTCACTCACATGCGGAAACCTTTGCCTTTCAGAAGGGCAATAAATTTGGGGAGTTCGTTTAGGAACACGTAAATTTCTCGCCATGCCATCATAGCTACTGTATTGTTATTGATGCTTACAGTTAGTTGTTCTCGTTGGAAGGAAAATTTGTATTTTTAAATGTGCGTTAAGTGACAGCGAGTACAATAAGAATGAAATACTGAGATAAACTGCTCATGCACGTCCTATACATCATCTTCCCACAGTATCCACTAATGGGGGGGAAAGCGTAAACAGCAACTTTACATTCATTCTTAGGAGTCAGATTCAGGACTCATTTTACCCCTGACATACATCTGCTTGATGGCTATAATTATATCAGCAGAGAAACGCGATTAAAGAGAACGTTATTCCTTCCCAAGATTCCCCTCATTTTTTTTTCCACCCACTCATACCCTCATTCTGTTTCACCCTGGAATTTTCATCAGCTACACTTTAAGTATATTTAATTTTTGTGATGATAAAAGAACTCCCCCTCCCTCCACGATCAGAGCTTATATTGGGTTGGAGCCCACTGGATCTCGGCTCCGGTGCTTCCTAGTACTAGTATTAAAATCTGTGCGTGTTTGTCTGTTTGTTTGTTTATGGCATTATATCCTCCGGAATGGTGGAGAGATGTACCCCCCCCCAGATTCCAAAAATTCGTGGAAAGGCATTTCGACCATTCTCATTTTTGTACGACTTTAATTAGCTAAGATATTAATTAAAAACTCTAAAAACGTTAATTTTCGCCCTCATTTTTTTGAGTGGCAACAGTTTCGCACACTGGAGATAAAAATCTGCTTTATTTCGAGAAGTGATGCCACTGCTCGCTTTCAAATCGTAGAGTTTGTTAATGAAAAATTTGGTAGTTTTACAAAATATGAAATAAAAATACCATTGCCAAATATTAAACATATTATTATTATATAAGGATATATTTTGATGCTGAAGAAAGCACGCGATTGCATGTGACGTCAATGTATGTCGAAAATGATTTGTTGATGTCAGCATTTAAAATAAATGTCTGCTTTTGGCAACATATTTAATTACGAATTGGTTGTTGCTTGGAAAGAATAAACAGATTTCATTCATATTGAAGTGTCGTTATACATTTGCATTTCAGGGATACATAGAACTTATAAGTTTTGCTTTGGCTGCAGTCCGCTAGTAAAGTATATAATGATCAGAAGAATAA